GCAGCTGAGCCGGCGGGAGATGGAGATCGAGCAGGCGCTGTTCCAGGGCACAGACCGCCACTCCTTCCTCAGGGCCCTCTACCACCAAGGTGCCGCCCCCAGCCAGGGCTCCTCCTGCACTCACAGCCAGCCCCACACGTTTCTGTCTGGCCTTCTGTCCCCGAGGATGTGGTTCTGCTTTGGTGCTGTGTGGGAGGAGATATTTTCATCTCTTACGGGAGCAGGAAGAGTTGGTTCTCTTTTAAGAGAAGTTAGAGGCTTTTAAAGTGTATTTCTGGGTCTCCTTGAGGTGTTGCATGTAGTGCAGAGCAGCTCAGGGTGTGGGAGGGGAGCTGGGTGATGCTTTGGTGGAGCCTCGAGGTCTGAGTTAAGCAAAGTGCCTGGTTAAGCAAAGTGCCTGCTTTTAAAGTGGGTCACGGGCATCTTTTCATGAAAATCCTTTCATTAAGATTTTTTCCTGCTGAGAAGCTAAGAAGCTTCAGGAACAAAATGTAAACAACGGTGATCTGCTGCTGTGGAATGCAACAGGTGCATCTGTGATTGGCCCATCTTAAATGTTTATAATTAATGGCCAATCACAGCCCAGCTAGCTTAGCTCTCTGTCCGAGCCACAGACCTTTGTTATTCATTCCTTTCTATTCTTTGCTTGGCTAGCCTTCTGAGAACCTTTCCTTCTAATCTTTTAGTATAGTTTTAATGTAATATATATCATAAAATTATAAATCAAGCCTTCTGAAATATGGAGTCAAATCCTCATCTCTTCCTTCAACATAAGACCCCTGTGACCACCGTCACAAAAGAGAATTTTTGGGTCTCCTTGAGGTGCTGCATGTAGTGCAGAGCAGCTCAGGGTGTGGGAGAGGAGCTGGGTGATGCTTTGGTAGAGCCTCGAGGTCTGGGTTAAGCAAAGTGCCTGGGTGGGACTGGAGATTGTTCCTTATCTGCAGGGGGTGAGGGAAGCAAAGGCACAGAACAGGTAAGAGGAGGAATGACTTGTTAAATCTTCATCCCTGAAGGGGAACTGGGTCCAGTTGAAGGCTGGGAGATTGGGTCCAGTTGAAGGCTGCTCTCACATTTGCCCTCATTTCCACTAAAGAGAATTAAAAGAGATCATTGATGAGTCCATGTCATGGACCTTTTTAAACCCAGGAGCTTAATCTGATGTCCTTGAAATCCAAGTGTTCCTATTCCAGGTAGTGGTATAGGAGGGCAGCATGGCCCATCCTTGCTGCACATGCAGGAGGAAGGTGTGTTGAAGGAGTCACTAGAAAGTGCTGAAATGTGGCTGCAGATAAGCGAGGGCATCTCTGAAAAGAGCTCTGATGTAGCACAGGTGGAGCTGCTGCTCTCTGCAGGTTCATCCTGAGCTGGGGAACCGGCACTTGCTGGGGCAGTTTTAAACAGCCTGCAGGGCCTGGGCACAGAGGCTGGGGTGAAATGGGGTTTCTCCTTTCTGTGTCTCTTCTTGCAGTCTGTGTGTTTTCCAGGCTATTGGTGATAGTTACCACATATCTCTGTTATGAATTAGATGACACTCAGAAGAGGGGAACAGATGAAAAGGACCCCATGGTTCATCTGGAGAGTGTTTACCAAGAGCTGCTGAGCAAGAAGTGCCCTGAAAAAGTCCAGTCTGCTACAAATGACCCCTGCTCGTCCCCCACCCCACAGGGGTCTAGGACTGAGGAGCCATCACTTCCAGAGCAGGAGGAGCAAGCAGAACAGGCAGCAAGTCCCAGTGTTTCTGCAGCAGAGCCCCAGCAGTCCCCTCCCAGGCCTGTGGTTATCAAAGAGCCAGTTGAGTTTGTCCCAGAAGAGGAGATCCTCAGGAACCGCCTCTCAGAGGAGGAACTGCGGAAAATCCCCAGGTTTTCCTCCTACCATCCAGGGGAGCCCAACAGGGTAAGCTGAGATGAACCAGGAGTTATCCCTGCTCAGCAGGATGCCCTGAAGCTGTGTCAGGAGGCAAAGGCTCCTCTTTGCTGTTGCCTTGGAGTTGCTGGGCTGATCCTGCAGGCCAGGGGGAAGAGGAGCCTCCACTGTGGGGCAAAAAGGGACCTTGGGCTCTGATGGGAAGGCACCAGCCTGGCAGAGAGCTGTACCTGTGAGCCCAGCCCTCCCTGGCTCCAGCAGCTCACCTGTCAAGATGTGCTCTGTCTGTTTGGGCCTGGCTGAGTCCTGCTGTCACTTTATTCAGACTCTTCTGTCTGGTAGCTGGAGATTATTGCATTTTATAAATAAACAGAGTGAACCGAATAAACTGTTTTATAAATAAACTGAACTAAATAAACTGAACTGTTTTGTAATAAACTGAAACTGTCAGCTCTTGATGCAGGCAAGCAGGGTGGTGCCTTGACTTCAGAGCTGCCTTTCTCTGTACACCCACGTGTCCTCTAAATGCCATCAATAGCACGTGGGTGTGAGGGTTGAGCTAATTCACACCTTGAGCTATGCAGGCTGGAGGGTGTGTTTGCATGGCAAAGGCTGGCTGACCCTGTGTGTGTTCCAGGTGCTGTATTTGAAGAACCTGTGCCCCCGAGTGACAGTGAGGGACCTGGTGTCCCTGTTTGCCCGGTTCCAGAGGGAGGACAGCCCCCTGATCCAGTTCCGCCTCCTGAGCGGCCGCATGAGGGGCCAGGCCTTCATCACCTTCCCTGGTGAGTTCCTGCCTTGTGCCTCTCTGTTCTTCCTGACTCCCAAAGGTGTCACATCCTCCTGCAGAGCACTGTGTCCTGCCAAGCCTGCTCTCCAAGGAGAAGCAGGGGAATTCACTCCTTTTATCTTCCTGTTGTGCCATGCTGCTCTCCCTGGGTTGGAAAGGGAATTTACCAGGGCAGAAGTGATGTGTGCAGTGTTCACTCAGCATGGCAGAGCAGGCTGAGGGGCCAGCAGATAGGAACACCCATAGGATGACCCTGTTGTACCCATGCCAGCAGGTGCCTGTGCCCACTGTGCCCTCTCCTTGCAGACACAGAGTCAGCCCAGAGAGCCCTGCAGCTGCTGAATGGGTACAAGCTGCAGGGGAAGCCCCTGGTCATCGCCTTTGGGAAAAGCAGGAAGCACTTGCCAGAGGGTGACTCTGCCATCCCCAGCTCCTCTGCTGCAGAGAACCCTCCTGCCACGTGAGGGATGGAGAACCAGCAGCCTTGGGGAGTTCAGTGAGCTGTGGGTGAACCTGGGACAGTGCAGGACTGTTGGGAGCCAACGTGCAGGACCAGCAATCTCAGACTGGGAGGAGCTGGGGCCTGGGCACTTCTTGAGAGCTGGGCAGTGCCCACACACTGTTGTGGCAAGGAGGGAGGGAAGAGGCCAGGTAAATAAATGCATTTATTGTGATATTTCTTCGGTGTGTGCTTATTGCTGTTCATAGTCCTAAGTCTTCTACAGCCAAGTGTGCTGTACTCTGTGTCCACACCTCAGTCGTGGGAGCCTCCCAGCTCTGCAGGCTCCTCTGGAGACAGAGACTGCCCCAAGCCCTTCAAAGCAGCATTTCTGTATCTCACTAGTCTGCATGCAGAGCTAAAGCACAGAGACCAGACTTCCCCACAAACTTTAGGCAGCTACTCCTGTCCAGCACAACAAAGATCACCTTTGGGAACAAACAACACAATTTATTGCAAGAAAAGGAAACAAAAGCCAGGTCATCATTTTGGATCTCAAAACCTGCACAGAAAACAGAGGTGTTTATATCCATCCTTTGAACAGGGGGGTGTTTCAATCAAAGGTGATCCTAAAGCTGCGCTCCTGCTCCTTGCGGCGACTCTCACAAACCTTGGTCACCTCTTCCACCTTCCTCTGCAGCACAGCTGTGGCAGAAACAAGGAATTAATGTCACACTCAGCCCAGAACACAACCCTGCACAGTTTTGCTTTCAGGAGAAAGAAAAACATTTTGGGAAGGCGTTTTTGGTAAAACAGCAGCAGTTGTCAGGAGTAACTTCTAAGCAGAGGCCTCTAATCAGGCACAGCAGGAGAATTCAAGCCAGAAGGGACAGTGCCACTGAAGGTGAGGAGGAACACTCCTCAGGCATCCTCAGGAATTCAGGGATGGGCAAACACACACACACAGGCGCCTGCTTCCCATTCACAGTCCCAAAAGGCTGCAGGACAAAGCTCACCTGAATTCTGGTCAATCCACTGCAGGGAATCCATGTGTGCATTCAGAATTTTACAGATCTGCTGAAGCTGAGCAGAGGGAGAAGGTGCAAGTCAGTTGTGAGAGTGCATAAATAGCAAGAGGAGTCAAAGGCAAGTTTCTCCTTGCCCAGCTTCCCTAAGGCAGCAGCCACTTGGCCAGGGAAGCGTGTGCAGCAATGCTGCTACTTTGCTCCTCCATACCAGCAAGAACACTGCACAGTTTAGATGATGTGCCTGTGGCTTTGTCTTATTTTAATTCAGCCATAGGAACCAGCAGGACATTGATCACCTCAGGCTTGAGGTGGCAAAATTCAAAATGAATGCGGAAAATCTCAGTCTGCAATGCTGAAGTGAAAATTTTACTGAAAAACAAAAAAGCTGCTGAGTACAGCCATAAGGAGTATAAAGATCAATTTAATGTAAATAATAAAAAAAGAAGCTTGCACTTACAGGGTCACTCGTGTCTGCTGGGCCCCTGGATGTGTTCAGGTGCTCAGTGATGTCCTTCAGGTCTTGTGCCATGCGCTTCAGCTGAGCATCGATGTTTTCAGCCAGTTTGTAGCTGCAGAGCACACAGGAACCAACATCAGAATGGTTAAACAAAACTCTGAAGAGCTGCCTGCAGTCACAGCAACTGTGGGCAATCAGAATGAGCTTCCATGTCTGCAGCCAAGGCTGGCAGAGACCTGGGAACAGCAGCCAGAGAGGCTCCAAACCCACATGAAGGGACTCCCAGCCCCTCTCTCCCTTGATATACAGACAAGCAGGAGAGTGGAGGACTTCCTGCAAGGCTTTGTGGGGACTGAAGGAAGGAGCAAGCCTGGATTCAAAATGCCTTATCTCTTGGACCAGACAAACAGTGCCTTTAATTACCCTGCCACAATGCATCCCTAAAACCTTACCAGGGGGCTCGTGCCACACAGAGTTCTCTGCCCTCACCACTGCTGGCACTGAAAAACCCATTAACTTCCCAAGATTATGCCAATATTAGTAACCTCTTCCCAGACAGCTGATTAAAACAACATCCAAAGTGCTGTTCAAGCTGATTCAAGGGCTTCCACTCACTGTTCTGATTTCTAAAGAGTAAAATCTAACTTGCCATGCATAGAACAGGATTAAGTATCTGACAGCAGCCACTGCCTGTTCACTCCTGTCCCCATCCCAGCTCCATGTCCCACTGGCTGCTGTGAGCCAGCCCAGTGCCCATCCCAGCCCCAGCAGGTCGGTGCCTCACGTTCTCTCCCGCTCCTCATCCGCGTGCTGCAGGTAGATGGTCCCGCTCTGCTCCTTCACAGACTCCTCCAGAGGGGTCAGCAAGTCCTCCAGCTCCTTCTGCTGGGACAGAATGAAGTCCAGTTCCTGATCCAGTCTGCAAAGAGAAATGCCAACTGCTTCCCTTTCATGTTGCACACATGGCAGAGCTGTCCCACAGCCAGGCAGGACAAGGCAGAGAAGAAATAAAATCATTTCAAGTGCTCATGGTCTCCTACCTCTTCTGGTCAACCTTCACCTTCTCTACTTCTCTGTGTAATGAAGTAATCTGGAAACAGAAGACATTTCATTACACCCTGAAAACCACAAAGTCAGCTCTGCAAACAGGAGAGGTGGGA